CACGAGCATGTCTTCCCGACGAATTTGATCGAAATGCCGTTGACATACCGATTCATATGGTTCAAGCCCACCAATTCAACAAACTTGAGAAGTTGATGTCCTTAGAACACCGCTACAGCCACACAAAAGCTTCCTAGTTTTAGCCTTAGCGCGCATCATAACGTAAATTGCCACTGACTCGCCGCCTGCGAGCATTAACTCGCAAAGCAACAACAATTTCATACCGTGTGCAAGTTCAGTTTGGCTTTGGCACAATACATAATGTTAACTGAGAACTATCCAACAAATGAACGGAGTTTAAAAGCTAAGTCTACAGTGTGCGCTCTAAGTTTTGTATCTTTTTGACTGTCGACAAGACTCGCGGCGAAAACAATGTAAAAGTTGCAGGCATTTTGTGGTTTTGTTAAGGTGTACCGCTGTCGTGTAAAATACTGTATCGCGCCCCCAAAAAACGTATTTACACGGTATCGGCTAGCAGCTGGCTTTGACAAGCAACAATCAACAATGATAATGCAAGTGAACTACTGAGGCACTTGTTTCTGAGAATACGAGAAAAAGAGAAAAGGTAGCCTCCAGCCTGAGAGAAAACACGAGCCGTCCACCCAGAACGCTTACCGAAATGGTTTGCGGAGATATTTCCTAAAGCGAACGGAAGGCGAGTATTTGATATCTGAGGCGAAGAAGATTTCAAGAAGCTTGCTACAAAGAGGAAACAGATTTAGGCTGAAGGAAACGGAGGCCGTCCTTATACAGAGCTGAACATGAAAGCCAAATGGAAAAGATGCGGACGACAGCTTTTGGTTTAGACACCCCGCCAGCCGCTTCATCTCGTGCGTTGGAATAACGATAGAATGTTAGGATTAAGAGGACGAGGAGAACAGCTAAACTGTAAAATTCAAAACTTCAAAGAGCAAGGAAACGTCTAAGAATGGTTGACAGACTGGCAGAGTCAGAAGGATCTTCTAAAAATGTCTTCAACAATATGGCCACAACCTGCAGTTCCGATATCGGTGCGATGCTCTACCAACTGAGCTATGAAGCCACACATAAGGAGCGAGGTCAATTAATTGAGTTCATATCTTCCCGTGAGGAGTGAAATGATGTGAAGTATAGATGAAATAATTCATATTTGAACTGCGGTTGTAGATGAAAGTGAAGAATGATCATCGCAGT